TCAGATTAAATAATAAATTATATTGAGAGGCCCAGAGTAATAACACAGCAGGTAGGGCACTTGTCTAGCATGAGGCTGATCTGTGTTCAATCCCTAAGCCCACCAGGAGTGATCCCTGAGTGAACCAGGAGTAAGCCCTGAGCACCTCTAGGTGTGGATCAACCCACTTCCCATTACCACTCCCAAAAAGAAGGGAAAAACTATATGAAATAGCCTATTAGGGGGACAAAAATTTAAAACCTAACAACCTACACAGATGGTGAGGCTGTGGGGAAACTAACACTTCTATTGCTAGTGTTTCATTAACACTTTCTGTGCTAGTGTTTCATTTCACATTTCCTTTGTAATCTTAAAAGCATCCTGGAACACTTTGAGAGTTTCCAAATACTGTTACTTCTTTAGCTTCTAATTTTAGTTTAGTACTGAGTTTTGTTTGTTTGACTACATTGGGCCTGTATGCAGGGACTGGTCCTAGCTCGGAAAGAGCCCAAGGGTAGCTCCAGGATTCAGGCGGTCATGCAGCGCTAGGGGCATCTAACCTGGGCCTCCCACACACAGAGCAAGTCTGTCTGTCTTTCTGTCTTTCTGTCTGTCTGTCTTTCTCTCTTTCTCTCTCTTTTCTCTTCTCTTCTCCCTTCTCCCTCTCTCTCTCCTTCTCCCTCTCTGTGTCTCTGTCAGTCTGTCTCTCCTCTCTCCCTTCTCCCTCTCTTTGTCTCTCTGTCTCTCCCCTTCTGCCTCTTTGTCTCTGTGTCTGTCTGTCTTTCTCTCTCCTCTCTCCCTCTCCTCTTTCTCTGTCTCTCCCCTTCTCCCTCTCTGTGTCTCTGTGTCTGTCTCTCTCTCACTCCTCTTCTCCCTCTCTGTATCTCTCTCTCACACACACACACCTCCCTTCTCCTTCTCTGTGTCAATGTGTCTGTCTGTCTCTCAGTGCCCCCCCCCCCCATTTATTTCAAAGAAAAAACATACGCACTTATTTTTAAGAATCCCCAGCAAGGGCAGGAAATATTCAACATTTCTAAAATAGTGCTTATTTTATTTTGGTTTGGGGACAAGTGTCCAGGGGCTCTGCCTGGTTCTGCTCAGGTAGTGCTGAGGGGCCGACCACAAGTGATGCTGGGGATCAAACTGGGACCAGATGCATGCAAGACAAGCACTTGCTTTCCCTCCTGTACAATTTTCCCAGCTCTAAAAATGTGGGGGTGGTTTTTTTTTTAACTCAGATGTGCACAAAAGTGTTTCACAGAGAATAATCCAACCCATCCCCCACAGCCCACTCTGTCACAATGGTCTTTCTGAAATCCTGCCCAATTTCCTCTTACAGGAGGTTAACGGCTCAGAATTGATTCTCCTTGGAATTTGTCATTATTAACAGACTGTTCGGAACAGAGATCCAGAAAAGGTAATGTGCAAGGCTCTTTCTTAATGAGGTTAAAGAGAATCCTTCTAAAAGCCAACCCACAGCAAAGCACTATTAACTGCTAAAAAAATTAATCATTATTTTCATCTTCTATTGGGAAAATAGTTCAATTACATTAAACATGAACTTCTAATATCCACTAGTGATTTTTGCTTAACTCACTTTCATGATGCTTCCTTAAATTTCAAATTCCATCATTCCTTCTATGTATTTTATGTCTTTATTGAGGCACTGTTCCTGAGTTGTCCTATGGAATTGAGCCAACTCGATACTGTGTCCAACTAGATTCTCGTCTCCTTATAATCTGTTGTCATTCTTTAAGCAATGTCTCACTTTTTTAGAAAAACTAAAGTATCACTAACATTATGTAAGTTTTAGGTAGCATATACTCCTCAAGTTGTTAACTACAAGAAGCTCTAACTAGGTTCATCTTATATAACTTTACATGATTTCATCATATAAATTTCCATAGGAAAACCTTAATAAAAAGAGTTGATATTACTTTACCAGTATTTCAACACCCTGTATCTCCTGATATGCTGCCCTGAGAGACTTAATGCCCCTAGTAAGGTATTCCTGCCAAACGGGAAAACCATCATCCACTCACTAGAAAGCATCACATAAACCAAATTAGAGGCAACTCTACAAAATCACTGGCCTATGCTTCAATATCATTGTCATAAAAAAAAGTGACAAAGGAAATGTCTGAGATTAAAGGAAATTTAAAAAATAATCTGCCAACCAAATGCATTCCATTCCTGAAAGTTTCCTCTGCTCTAAAACTACATAATTGGGGCAGTAGGTGAAAACAAGTCTGTAGATCGGGAAAGATTAAATCAATGTTAATTTCCTGATTTCGTCAACTGTATTGCAGCTGCATACAAAGAATATCCTTGTGTTTTTTTAGAAAATGCACTCCTAATTATTTAGGTACACAAGGGAGAAGATTACATCTTATTCTCCAATAATTCAGCAATAAATTCAGGGAAAGCAAAGGATCATAGTAAAAAGCATTAATGTTCGGGGTATCTGAGTGAAAATTTTATACTTTCTTACATTTTTTCTGTTGTTTGTTATATCAATATAAACAAGATAAAAATAAAGATAATGGGGGGGGTGGTCTAAGGGTGTCTAAGTAGGAAAAATACTTCCCATGCAAGCATGAGGCTGTAAGTTCAATTCCCAGTGCCTCCCACATATAATAATCTTGGAATTTTTGCTGTTTGGGACCCCCACCCCCACCCCAAATACCAAACTGAAATGTATGATCTCTGACCCATGGCAGCCAGATATGTGCAAACACCATAGTTAAAGTATGCACCACCCTGGCATGTACTTGCAACTAAAGAAGTATCAGCACCACAACCAGATGTGCAACCCCCAGTCACCACTTTGAACAACTAAAACAAAGATTAGGGAGAATTAAGCTTTAAGGGAAGATCTTAACACAGTTCCTAGCACAACATCTATATTCAAATAAATACTCTTAGATGTTGCTAATATAATCTCTAAATTCTGTGCAAAAATAGGTTTCTTTATTCAAGAGATACATACCTGTAAAATGGTAACACTGGGTGAGAAGCGAAATAATATAGAATGAACGCATGCATTTAAACATACTTACACAAATACAATGTAAATGCATTGAAGGGGGGCACTCTTTCTAGTTAGTACTGAATAGCATAAGTAATCCTTTCTTATCACTTCATACTTATAAGCATGAATCACTTTTACTTTTTTCTGAAAATTATTCTTAGATATTAAAGGAACAGTCCGTAATCAAGGAAGGAATGAAGTAATTTTCCCTTACCAGTGCCCTCTCTGCAGACCTGCATTTGGCTACTGTACTTGAGAGCTATATTCTGTGCCCCTTTGAATTTCACATATTAAAACCGGAATAATCAAGTGTCCATTGAAAAATATTCCAGTTAGTCTCACCACATCACCTGTGTTGTTAAGAGAGTAGAATAGGGATCAGAGCTGTGGCTCAAAGATAATGCACAGCCTCATGTGTGAGGCCCTGGATCTGATCCCAGCACCACCAAAAAATAAAAAAGAATGGAATGAACATACACATCTAATTTTGCTTCTTCCCCCAAATCCCACTAATTGTACAGATGTTTTGTTAAAGACATAAACCCAGAGGATGGAGAAATGGGAGAAAAAATAAAAAGGTGAACAATGGAACATATTTCGATGAATGATAACCCACTGATACTGGTCATCTATCCAGCAGTAGAAAAAGTTGAAGCCCAATCCAATTACAGACAGAACTCCAAGCCAGAAACCTCAGACTCAGCGAAGAGGAAGTGAGGGGCAGCAGATAAAGCCGTTTTACAGCAACACTTGGATCCTTAGATCTCTCCCCCTCCCTAACATTAAAGGCTATCTCTGCAAAATGTGCAGCAGGTGCTCTCTGGTTTGGGGAGTGACTAGAATGCAAGGGTGTGAAAAAATGGGTAATTAAGTGAGCATGTTAGTACTGAGATCTACTGCCTATACCAGATCCTGCTCCATGCCCCCCCCCTTCCAAAACGCTAGCAGTTCTACATTGGAAGAGCTTCCCTAAAGGTACAAATGTCATTTCTACTACACTTTTTTGCATCCTCACAATATATTCCCAGAAGTGGTATTGTGGGGTCATATGGAAGCTCAATCACTAGTTTTTGAAGGAATGTCCAAATTGTTTTCCAGAAAGGCTGGACCAGTGGGCATCCCCACCAACAGTGAAAGAGCGTTCCTTTCCACCACATCCATGCCAGTACTTGCTGCTTCTGTTCTTTTGACCATGTGCCAGTCTCTGTGGTGTGAGATGATATCTCATTGTTGTTTCTGTGTTGCAAACCATAATGCCCAAAAGTAAAGAGAGAGTATGGGGGAAATTGTCTGCCAGGGAGGCAAGGGGAGGGTGGGTAAGGGAGGGTGGCATACTCGGGAGATTGGTGGTGGGGAATGTGCACTGGTAGAGGGATGAGTGTTTGATCATTGTGTGATTGTAACCTAAACATGAAGATTTATAACTGTATCTCATGGTGATTCAATAAAGTAAAATTTAAAAAAAGAGCTTTCCTTGCATCTACAAATACCCAGCACAATACATAAAAATGGTCATAAGGCACATTGCTGTGAAACCTCAGAATACTAGGGGTAACAGTAGAGATCCAACAAGCGTCCAGCATAAAGGGTCAAACAAAATGGAGGACTCACGTTAGCATCAAACTTCTCAGCAGCAAAAGAGGACCAAGAGGGGAGGGGAAAAAAATAATGTGTACACTCAAAGTTCTGAAGAAAAACATGCCTACAATTTACAATCAGCTAAACTATAGCAATAATTTAACTCTAAGTACAGAAAATAAAGACATTTTGACACAGAAAGGCTAAAGGGGGGAAAAAAATCCCTCCTATGACCTCTCTTTGGAGGGCTGAGAATTTAAAGCTCCTGCAATCTAAGAAAAAGATACAGTTCATACCCAAGGTAAAAATGGGACAGAAGAGCCAATTTACTGAGAAAAAGATACAGCTCATTCTAAAAGGAGGCCAGAAGAACCAATTTGAACCCCGTTTAATAATAACGACAACTTACTTCAGCCAACTTTTACGAACCAACAGCCAGGAACGAAGTTACTGCGATGAACATAACCCTGAAAGTGAACCAATACAACATTCAGTGCTGCCCAAAGAAAGAGTCTTCTAAAGAACTCAACTACTTAAATCCTCCCCTCAAAACCTTTCACTCTCTTCAAACCAATGATCCGCTTCATGAAGATCAGACTGTGCTTGAAATTCTAGTGAGAAATGACCTCAACCTTTGACATCAAAGGAGGAATTAAATAATAATAATAATTTAAAAGATGGGGGCTGGAGCAATAGCACAGCGGGTAGGGCGTTTGCCTGGCATGCGGCCAACCTGGGTTCGATTCCCAGCAACCCATATGGTCCCCTGAGCACCGCCAGGGGTAATTCCTGAGTGCAGAGTCAGGAGTAACCCCTGAGCATCGCTGGGTGTGACCCAAAAAGCAAACAAAAACAAAAATTAAAAAGATATGGGCTACGGAAATCAAGACATCAGACATCAGAGAAGTGCAGGAATATTGGTGAGTGAGGCGTCCGGGCCCCAGATGACAGCTGCACCAGGAGCAGAAGGCAGGAGCAAGCCAAGTGCCAGGCAGACTTTGCCCTGCTCTGTGCTGCGGCACCATTATTTCCATCTGACACAACTATAGAGGATGTGCTTCATATAAGCAGAAGGAGCCTCGATGAATAAGGAAGATAAGAGTTTCAACAATATAGGAAACAAACCCGAGAGGAAATAAAAGTGTTAAGGATGACCACAATCATCGGAAAGAGCAATGGAGCTGACCCAGACAGCAAGTCTCGGCTGAGAAGCTGCCCTGAATTTTTAGGAAAGAAAGAAAACATACAAATAAAAGTTTCACTTAAAATGGATAAAAAAAAACAGGGGAAATGTTCTCCCCGTTTTGGGTAGACGACAAAGTATTTTTAATATTGAAAGAATATAAAAGTGCAAGAATTATAGAAGAAACTTCAAAAGCACAACAATTTTGAAAGCAAATAATTACCAATTGACTCAACAAAGAGAATTCAGTAATTGTAATACGACGAAGACTGTAGGCTTGACCTTAGTTACAAATTCATTAATGATCAGGAGACAGAGCAAATAACACATTTAATTAAATTTGCTCATTTATCTATTTTGGGAAGAACGATTAACAACAGTGAGAGAGAGAGAGAGAGAATGGTGATATAAAAGGACAGAGATGGATTAAAAACACTGGCCAAAAGCAACCAAACTAAAGACTGAGTAGAACACTAGGTAAAATTATAGGCTTATTGTATTTTAAGCCTATAATTTATCAAAAGTTTATTTACTATAAGTTCTTTATACAAAGTTGCTGTATACATATATATGCACATGTATATACTCTCATACATATATACACACTGTATATGCACCCACACATACTAATTCCTTTTCTTATTCGAGACCAATAATCCTATTTAAGCAAGGATTCGTGAAGGTTGGATATCCTAAAAATAAAGTTCTATGATGCAATTTGATAACAGCAGTTTTATACTTCATAATTATAGAAAGTGTTCTAAAGACAAAATCCGTCTATACTGTATTCTGTTCATCTACCTCCATTTGGATATCCCTTTTATTCCTGTTTATTATTTCTAAACAGGTTTCTCAAAACAGTTTACATTTCCTAACTTCTCCAACAGGATGTTACTGATAAGTGATTAAGTTTCACCAATGAAATAAAACCATGGTATACAAAGTTTTCAAAAGCTCTTCATCCTTAAGATGTAGACCATCCCACCTCCATACCCTTCCTGCTGGTCAGCTATGTAGAAAATGGCAGGAGCAACTGTTGGTATTTTAGATTCTAAAGTGACTTTGGAGGGGGAAAACTAAGAGCCTTCCCTCTAAGAATAGGGATGAGACAAGGACGCCCACTCTCTCCACTGCTGTTCAATATAGTATTGGAAGTACTTGCAGTGGTGGTTAGGCAAGAAAAAGATATTAGGGCATTCAGGTAGGAAAGGAAGAAATCAAGTTCTCACTATTGGCAGATGATATTATACTATACTTAGAGAACCCTAAAACCTCCACCAAGAAACTCCTAGAAACAATAGACTGGTATAGTAAGGTTGCAGGCTATAAAACCAACACCCAAATGTCCATGGCTTTCCTATACGCAAATAATCAGAGAGAAAAAAGTGACATGAAAAAATAATCCCGTTCACAATTGTGCCCCAGAAAATCAAGTACCTAGGAATCAGCTTAACTAAGAACGTAAAAGAGCTGTACAAAGAAAACTATAAAACGCTACTTCAGGAAATTAAAGAGGATGTGAGGAAATGGAAATTTATCCCCTGCTCATGGATCGGAGAATTAACATTCTCAAAATGGCAATACTCCCCAAAACATTGTACAAGTTCAATGCGATCCCTATAAGGTTACCCATGACATTCTTCAAAGAAATGGAGCAAACACTCCTAAAATTCAGGAACAATAAGCACCCACGAGTAGTTAAAGCAATTCTTGGGAAAAAGAAAATGGGAGGAATCAACCTCCCCAACCTCAAACTCTACTACAAAGCAGAAATAAATAAAACAGCATGGTACTGGAACAAAGGCAGAGCTGCAGACCAATGGAACAGGGTTGAATATACTGACATCTCCCCCCAAACATATGATCATCTAATCTTTGATAAGGGAGCAAGAAATGTGAAGTGGAGCAAGGAAAGCCTCTTGAACAAACTGTGCTGGCAAAACTGGACAGCTACATGCAAAAAAAAAAAAAAGGGCTCAGATCTCTACCTAACACCATGTACAAAAGTAAGATCAAAATGGATTAAATCCATAAGGTACATTGAAGACAAGGTTGGCAAAACCCTCCATGACATTGAAGCTAACGGTATCTTCAAAGATGACACGCCACTGGCCAAGCAAGAGAAAACAGAGATAGATAAATGGGACTATCTTAAAATAAGAAGCATCTGCACCTCAAAAGAAACAGTGACCAAAATACAAAGACAGTCTACAGAATGGGAAAGAATATTCGCCCAGTACCCATCCAACAAGGGGTTGATATCAAGGATACACAAAGCACTGGTTGAACTCTACAAGAAGAAAACATATAACCCCATCAAAACATGGGGCAACGAAATGAACAGAAACATTCTCAAAGAAGAAATCCAAATGGCAAAAAGGCACGTGAGAAAATGTTCTACATCACTAATCATCAGGGAGATGCAGATTAAAACAACAATGAGATATCATCTCACACCACAGAGACTGGCCCACATCCAAAAGAACAAAAGCAACCTGTGTTGGCGTGGATGTAGCGAGAAAGGGACCCTCCTTCACTGCTGGTTGGAATGCCGACTGGTTCAGCCCTTTTGGAAAACATGGACGATTCTCAAAAAATTAGAAACTGAGCTTCCATCTGACCCAGCAATACCACCCCTGGGAATATATCCTGGAGAGGCAAAAAGTACAGTCGAAATGACATCTGCATGTCTATGTTCATTGCTGCACTGTTCACAATAGCCAAAATTTAGAAAAAAACCCGAGTGCCCGAGAACAGATGACTGGTTAAAGAAACTTTGGTACATCTACACAATGGAATACTATGCAGCTGTTAGAAAAGATGAAGTCATGAAATTTACACACAAGTGGTTCTACATGGAAAGTATCATACTAAGTGAAATGAGTCAGAAAGAGAGGGACAGACATAGAAACACTGCACTCATCTGGGGAATATAAAGTAACAGAATGGGAGTCAAACACCCAAGAATAGTGGAGATAAGTACCAGGAGGTCTGCTCCAGGGCTTGGAAGCTGGCAGCACATGCTGGGGGAAAAGGCAGCTCAGGTAAAGAAGAGAACACCAAGTAAAGGATGTTTGGAGGACTCGCTCGGGATGCGTGCTGAAAGTAGACTATAGACCGAACACAATGGCCACTCAATACCTCTATTGTAAACTATAAGACCCTGAAGGAAAGAGTGAGCAAAAGGGACTGCCCTGCTACAGAGGCAGGGTGGGGTGGAGTGGGATGGGGTGTGAGGGCTACTAGGATCATTGGTGGTGGAGAACAGGCACTGGTGAAGGGATGGGTACACGATCACTGTATAACTGAAACCCAAGCACGAAAGTTTGTAAGTCTGTAACTGTACCTCATGGTGTTTCACTAATTTAAAAAAATTAATTAAAAATAAATAAAAAAAGGGGCTGGAGAGATAGCACAGCGGGTAGGGCGTTTGCCTTGCATGCGGCCGACCTGAGTTCAATTCCTAGCATCCCATATGGTCCCCTGAGCACCGCCAGGAGTAATTCCTGAGTGCATGAGCCAAGAGTAACCCCTGTGCATCGCCAGGTGTGACCCAAAAAGCAAATAAATAAATAAATAAAAATTTAAAAAAATAATAAATAAAGTGACTTTGGAAAAGGCCAGTCTCCATGATGAGAGGAGCATTTCACTGCTACAGCACACCCCAGCACAGAGAGCACGCCACACCAACCCTAGACTCCTCCTGGTATTCCTGGAACTGAAATTAACTTCTGTGATGTCCCATCCTCCCATTATTTGATTACTGTCAAATCTAACCCTAATATGTGCTCGATACAAGTGGAAACGCCTTGTTTTCTTTAAGCAATTCTCCTCTGCGCCTAGCCAGATTCTCTTCTGCGTCTTCTCCCTCCCTGAGGATTCTGCTCAATATTCTACCCTGGTTCTTTTCTGCTGCTCTGCCACTATGCTCGAAGCCAAACATCCTAAAACATCATTAACTCTGTATGTCTAATCTTTCACTTGAACCCTAATATTATTTCCAGTTGCTTATCATTCCACTTATATGACACATAATTACATAGAAACATAACTTGATTTTTAAGACAAAAGTTAACTGTGATCGTGGTAATAGCAGTTTGCTGTGGTGGTATTAAATAAGCTAATATTAACTGAGCTCTTAACATATACCAGGCATTGTTCCAAGTCCCCGAGCCAAACCTCCCAACAATCCTACCAAGTGAAGAATGCTATCAGCATTCCACTTCACAAGTGAAGAAACCAAGACCCAGACAAATTAAGTACCATGCTCAAGGCACATAGTTA